CAAGTGCCCTGGCTCTGCCGCTGCCTGTCAGTGTTTGCCTGCAACAACTTCTCCCCCTGTGCAGCCTGGAAATCTCCTCCCTCAACAAGACCATCCGCATCACGGCGAAGTCAACCAAGCGCATCCGGGAAGCACTGCAGCCCGTGCTGGGGAAGTATGGAGTGAGGATGGAGCAGGTGCTGCTGCGAAGGGTGAGGGTCACACCTTGGTGGGCATAGCCCCAGCTCCCGTGCTTGGGGGAGCCCATGGTTTGGGGCTCAGGACAGGGGCTGCTGTCTGTGACTGGGTGATGGGGAGCAGCAGTCCCTACCAGGGGCAGCCTGCAGGCTCACAGGATCACCAGTTTTGGGATGGGCTGTGGTACCCCACCCCAGGCTGGGAGGGAGCAGTGGGTGTGCTCTGCACTGTGCAGAGCTGTCCGGCTCCCCACCGGCCCAGGGAGCCTGCAAGAGGTGGGGAGCTTGCAGGTCTTCAGCCTGGCTGCCTTTGCCAAGCCACAGTGAGTGTGACACTGGCTGGCTGTTCTGGTTGCAGGAAGGTGAGCCAGCTGCCCTGGACCTGGAGAAGCTGGTCACCACAGTGGCTGCTCAGAAAACCACTCTCGGACCAACACCACGATCCTGGAAACACCAGCAGGTAGTGTCCTCCATCCCAAGCCACATCCCCCCAGGCCATGCCTCCCTGCAGAACGCTTACAGGACCAGGCTGCTTTCTGCTGGCCATGGGTCCTGCTCTCTGGGATGGGATCTGTCCTGTCACTGACTGGTCCAGGACCAGGATGCTGGGACAGGATGCTGAGCGTCACTTTTCTTGCAGGCGTGCGAGTGATGGAGCGTGCAGAGGCTGCCGCTGCCCTCTCTCCACTCCGGAGTGAGGTGAGCTTAAGATCTGCCACCCTGGTCAGAGATTGAATCATAGAGTCATCGTTAGAATCACCTCTAAGATCATCAAGTCCAACCATTAACCTGTCACTGCTGTAACTTCTAAACCATATCCTCCAGCACCAGATCCAGATGCGTCTTAAATACTTCCAGGGATGGTGACTCTAATAGTCTCCCTGGGCAACCTATTCCAGTGCCTGAACACCCTAACAGTGAAGAAATTTTTCCTAATATCTAATCTGACTCTCCCCTGTCTCAGCTTATGACCGTTCCCTCTAGTCCTCAATGCCCCCACAGCTGCCGCTGTGCTCTGTGGGGAAGGTGTGCCCTGCTGTGACCCTGACACATGCCATGGGACTGGGCAGCAGGTGCCAAGGTGGGAGCCAGGATGGGGACACAGGCTGGGGGAGCACTGCCTCCTCATCCCATGGCTGAGGCCTGGGCTGCTCATTGCAGGAGGGAAGCCCAACAGGAGAAGAGACTGACACACGGTGGGACATGCCCTCGTCCTTTTCCCAGCCACGGTCTTCAGCTGCCATGAACCTCAACCGTCGCACATATGACCTGGAAGGTGAGTTCTGGTGTGTCTGAAACATGAGGGGCTGGGGCAAAACACAGGGTGAGGGATGAAGGGGCCCTGGTGTGCTGGGGATGGGTGCAGGGTCCCATGGGTGCTGGCATGCAGCAGGGAGAAGGTGTGCCTGGGACATGTTCAGGGTCATGTCAGGTGGAGAGGGCAGCCAAGGTGTTAGGACAGAGCCACAGTGCCAGGCTCAGGTGCATGACCT